GGGAAGGGGAGGTGGGAAGAAAGGGACAGAAGCGGAGAGACCCGGGGAGCCCGAGCGCGAGGCCGAGCGGAGAGGCGGCTCTGGGGGCGACGGCCCTGCCGGAGCGAGGGATCGGGGAGCCCTGGCACCGTACTCACCGCCGCTCCCCGCCGGGCGCCGCGTCTGGACCATCCGGGCCGGGGATGGCCCGCCGCGCCAGAGCAGCCGGAAATGAGGCGGCGCCCGGAAGTGAGGCACGACCCGGAAGTGAGGCGAAGCCCGGAAGCGGAAGGGCCCTCGGCCTCTCGCGGAAATGACGAACAGGCCGTGGGTGCTAAGGGGCGGTGGCTCGTAACCAGGGCGACAGGGGGTGGGGCGGGGCGCGGACCTGGCGCTCTCAGAGCTCCCCTGGACTGAAGGTCCGCCTCGGGGGCTGTGCGCCAGGTCCCGGCGGGCCCCAGGTGAGAGACAGGTGGCCCGAGACCCGACTCTTGTCAGGGCACCTGTTACCTCTTCTGTCCTCGTAAGAACACGGTAGTTTTTGAAATGCTCCTAAAAGAGGCTTCCAAATGGAGTTGTGTTTATATTCAGGATATTTTGTGAATTTGGAACCTGGTGTGAAGGGGCCCCTACTGGAAGAAAGATTATGTGCGTTTTAGGACCATTGAGTCCCACTCCTGTGCTGGTGTGGAAATCCGTGGAGTCCGGCCCTGAGAGCACGCAGTGCCCTTGCGCCCGTGTGTGGGGACTTGGACTCTGCCGGGTCCCGCAGGACTCGTGGGGGGTCGGGGACCCGAGGGAGGCTGCGTCAAGCAGGTGTGGCTGCAACACCGACTGGCTAAGTCGGACTCACTTCTTTGCGTGTCAGGGTGACAGGACAGGCTTCAAGCGGAGGATTTTTGTGAAGCTGGGGAAAGCTGGCGCCAGGGGGTCGTGACCCGCTGGTCTTTGGGCTGGTGATGGAGATGGCACCAGCCAGGGGTGTCTGCTCGCACCTGGGATTCCCCCGCCGACCTGGGCCGACCACCCGTTTATTTCCCCGGGAGAGCGTACTGGCCTGGAGTACAAAAGAGAGGCCATGATAGAGGGAGACATCTGGATCTGTTTTAAATGACCGAAAAAGGAGATGACTTTTACAACCACAGTGTCCTACCGTCGTCGGTGTCTAGTGCTTACCTAACACGTTAGGTACCGAGGTGAGGACGTGACGTCAGTAGTCAGGCTTTCTTCAGTCTGGCTAACAGAAAGAGGGCATAGTCTTTTTTTTTTTTTTTTAATTAAAGCAGCTAAATGTAAAGAGTAGTGTTACCTTTAAAAATATTTAATAATTTAGGAAAGGACTTCAACAAATAGAAATGACTGTGTCTGATTTGGTGCCGTTCCCACTCCCCACACCTTTGTTACCAGCCTTGCTCATTTTATCCTAGTTCTAGCCTCTAGAATTAAGACTTTCTCCTGTTCTGGGTCATGTGGAGAATTTTGTTTTCTTTTGCTACAAAGTAAACCATCAAGGATACTTTAATTATGATCCCACTTACCATTTTCTGTGATGAGCTTATCCTCTCGTGAGCATCTTTTTGAGGTGGCAAGCACTCCAACAGCCTTTCAGTGCTTGACCTGTGCCCACAGTGTTTCCAGCTTTTTTGGCTTCCAAGATTCCCATTAGCTACAAGCCATTACTTACTACAGCATTTTATTCACCTGAGGCCTTGTGCTGGACCCAGCCCAGCTTAAATTGGGCTCAGTTTGATCTAGGACCCAATCCAGTTTTTAAGTTGGACCCAGTAACCACCAGCAGTTCCCACTGTGGAATCTGGGCAGAGTGGGGAAAGGATGCGGGGAGGGATTCCAACCAAATGGGCAACTGTGGAAATCCAATGAGAGCAGGAGCTCAGCACAAAGAGAGCTGAGCTCAGAACCGAGAGGAACTCACCCAGGGCCCCCGGAAACAGGGACAAAGAGAACTCAAGGTACTTGCAGGGTACCATGCCTGTGTTTCTCTTCGTCCTTGAAGCTGCCAGAGATCGCTTCATATCCCATCACTGCTGCTAAATCTGTTAAGTCACAAAAACTCAACTGAATAAATTTAAAGATCAAATTGGCTATTTGTCCAGCAGTAGAAAGGAGCTCTGCTGAGCTGTAGGGAAGGAAAGGCTTTTAAAGCTGGAAAGGGTGTGAGAATGACATCGTTAGACAATGTGTTGTTTTAGGCGAGGTCGCCTTCCTCAGGGAATGGAAGGGGTGTGTGGGCCAGACTGTCACACTGGTGCTAACCAGGTAATTACAAATTGAGTGTAAAATGTTACATTCCTGGGGATTGAGACTGCAGTTAGATTAGGTATTAAGTTTTGGTCTGCTGACGTGGGGTTTAGCACAGTGACTGCATTTTGGTCCTGTTGTCTTTAACAATTCAGATATGTATTGAATACTTATCATGTATCCTCCCTAGGATACAATAGTGAGAAAATAGACACATTTTTTCCTTTCCCAGAGCTAGACGTTAATCAGTTACATACTTTTATGTGTGTGTGTGTGTGTGTGTGTCTGTATACACTTGACCTTTGAACAACATGAGGGTTTGGTGTGCCCCCTTCCCCCATACAGTGAAAAATCTGTGTGTAACGTTTGACTCCCTGAAACCTTAACTACTGATAGCTTACTGTTGAGGAGAAACCTTACCCATTACAAAAACAGTTGACTGACACATATTTTGTATGTTATATGTACGGTGTACTGTATTCTTACAATAAGATCAGTTAGAGAAATGATAAAGAAAATACATTTACAGCACTGTACTGTATTGGCTGAAAAAATCTGTGTGTAAGTGGACCTGCACAATTCACACCTGTGTTGTTGAGGGACGAGCAAATTCGAGGAATGAGCTGGGTCACAGGAGGACAATGAATGGGGCTGGGCACATGGGATGGGGATGTGGTGTGGGATGAGCTCCAACAGCTGGGCTGGGCCATGAGTTTGGTCTTTGTCTTCAGAAAGATGGGCAGCTGTTGGCAGCATCTAAGCAGGACATTGCATTCATACCTTGTAGTTCAGTCATTCCTTGATTGTGGGTCCAGAAGGAGCTCTTTAGGGAACTAAATTCCCCTCAGGCTGCTTAGGGACAAGTAACAAGGACTGGCCTGGGAACAGGTGCATCTCAGAGAGAACAATTCCTGTAACCCAGCAGCCAGCACCCTATGGGGTAATGGAGCCCAGACAGTGAAGGTGGGACCCCACGTGCAGTGTATATGGCATGAAAATGCCCGGCTGCAAGCCTGTGAAACCTCCACCCGGGTTGGGAATTGGTCTTGAGTAAATGCAGGTGATCACCCCACAGGTCTGAGAGCACGTGGTGTCAGCATCCCAGAGCGCTGTGGACCTCTAGTCATCACTCCCTGCCTCCTTTCCAAAGGTGTTTGAGTCCAGCTGTGCCTGCTGGTAGACCAATGCTGAGCACACACTATTGTATGTATCCTCTTATGAATATACCCTTCTTTCCCCAGGCTGCTGTACATGGACAGTTGGGCTGTTTCCAATTTTAGAATCATGAATAGTGCTGCTTTGAGCATTCTGATAAATGTTCTGTGTTACGTGTTTTTTCGTTCATGTGTTCATGGTTCCGTGTGTGCTCAGCAGAGAATTGCCTCTAGGTCGGTTTTTCTGAGTGGTTGTTCCAACTTACATTACTCCTCCCATAGGTTTTGGAAGCTCATCCATACTCAGTGTTCTTTTCTTAGTATTTTTTATTTTAACCATTCTGATGGGTGTATGGTTTTCACTTATCATTTCAGTTTGCCATTCTCTGGTAAATAATGAGGATAAGCATCTTCTCCAGTTAATTGGCCATTTGGAGATCTTTCATGAAGTGCCTTTTGCATATTTTTCTGTTGGCTTGTCTGTCTTAAGATTTGTATGAATTCTTTGTACATTCTGGATGTCTTTGTCAGCTTTATGTGTTGCTCATCTTTCCTACTTTGTGGCTTGCATTTTCACTCACTGATTGGTGTCTTTTGAAGAATATAAGTTTTGTATTTGTGGATATTTATTATGGTATTATTGCGGATGTATTTTATTAAAGTTTCTGTCCTTCTCAAACATCTAAATGCTAGTATATACTTAGACAAACATGGATTTTTTTTTCTCAGTATCTATTCCTTTTCTGGCAATAATACTTGGATTTCCTTGGGCGGCCACTCTTTTCCCTC